CCATTTCTGCAGGAAATACAAGGCTGTCCCTTAGGCTCACTTCTTTGAAAGCAGAAAAATTCAAGTTCCTTCCTCTTCCTCCCTTTAGTTAAACACAAAGGCATTCATTCACTCACACCAGAGCCTTGGTTCCTTCCTCTTCCTCCCTTTAGTTAAATAAACACAAAGGCATTCATTCACTCACACCAGAGCCTTACTCTGACTTGGAATTTTAGTACAATGGTCAACAGACTGATTCTCCTATAAGGAAAAAAAAAAAAAAGATAGGAGCTTTCTCTTTTTTTTTCTTTCTCTTAAACCTTTTAAAAATGAAACCAATAGTTACTGTTTGGCCTTGGATACTTTTATTGATCAGTAACAACTTTTTTGTGTGTCTCAACTCAAGTGGCTGAAATTCTAATACTTCTATGTAAAAAAAAAAGTACACTCTCCACGTCAGCACAAATGTTAACACAGGTTAGCACAGCACAGGGCCATGAAGACATGCCCTTCCTGAGGAAAATACACGGACTGGGAAATAGACCTGGAAATAATCTAATGCCAAGTTACTGGGTCATTTAACATGTCACTTCCTCCTTCATTTAAATAGTCTGAATCAGTTTCATTTTTCTCAAAAGCCTTAGGAGCAAACTTTTAAGCGATGAAAATAAAGCTGTTTTTATTATCAAACTGCCACTACTTCGTGGAAACAAATTCATGATTTGTAAAACATACCTGGAAACACACGTGCAGCTTGAGAGAGGATGGCATTTTAGAGCAAGGACTTTGATCATGGCAAACGAAGCGGTGCGCACTCATGTTACTTATGGAAAGCAAACTTCATGCATGTGCCAGACATTTATGAGTTCCTTAAGGGAACCAGGAAGCTGATTTGGTTCATGAACCTAACACCCCTACTCTTCACATTATTTTACATCAAACATGTTCTGATGTTGCTGAACTTTCCATTTTATCCTTCCAGCTTTTGCAAGAGGAAAACAATATGATAGAGATGTTTATTTCTCAAATTTGACTTGAAACAATGGGAAAAAGGGGAAAGTAATGCAAAAAGAATGAGTAATTCACTTGGTAAGTTTAATTATTATTTGAAATCTGGTACAGTTATTATTGTCAGCTCTACAGTTTTGTTTCCCTTCCACTTCCCATCCTTTGTTGGAAGCTAATTGCAATGCCAATGTTTGACTTGGGAAACGCATCCTGGCTCTTGTGATTATATAGCAAGAGGTTGAGGACTTACCTTCTGTCAACACTCAGACTACTTAACAGCAACATGCTTGTCATGTAATCATAATAAAAACGGTTTAACAAAGTTATCGATCCAAATGTCTAGCGAGAGGGTGGCGTAAATCATATTCCTAAAGGTGTAAAGACTAAGAAATTGTCACCCCATAGAAATCATTCCGATGTATGGTGCCATTGGCTCGCTCCTTGCTTTTTGTTATTGGCTGCCTCATGAGCCCCATATTCCTAGCTCTTCTTTCTATAGTACAAATGGTTCTATACCACCAAAGGAAGAAGAAAATCTCTCTGAACTTTAACCCCAAGAGAAATGAGAGAACATACTCTGCAGGCTTCATCTCTCAGGATATTAGTATCTGAAAAAGAAAGCTGATTTCACTTATTCTACCATCAGTACAATTTCTACAAGACAGGATGGAAAAAGGACTGTGTGCAGAGGACCAATATTTCTTCCTAACTTCATAGGAAGTGTCACATTTCCCTGCAGGGCACTGGCTGCTGACCTGTACAATTACTACTGAGGCCCGAGTTGAAGAGGCAACTTGAATTTTTCAGGGCTGTCAAATGTGAAGATTCTGTGACTTTTTCATATAAAAAGACCAGAAACCAGAAAACAGTGGCTTTATCCTAACAACGGGAACTAGAGTTCAAGGAAAGCCAAGGAATTAAGCATTGTTTTCTCTAAGGCTTACAGCCCAAAGGGAAGTGACTTTAGGTACACCAGTCAGACTTTATTCCTCGAGGAAAGGAGCAATTTGGGTATAATCTGATCTGCTCCCCCTTCACCCAATCAGAGAACTCTAGGTCCAACTGGAAGACAGAGAAAAACGAAATCAATTTCGTGAACTGCATTGAAGCTATAAAGCAAACTTCTCAGGACCAGACACTGAATTCGGAGCATAAATAAGCATAATAGTGATAGGTCTTTATAAAGCTTTGTCACAGAGATCATGTATGTATAAACTGTGCAAGTGAAATATACTAAAGAACCCTCTAAGAAAATGTCTTGTGGCTAGAAACTAATATCCTATTCAGGTCAAGATTTTCTTGCTTTAATAGAGCTCTCACTATATATAACAGCATTGACAAATATTTTAAAAATATGAATAAGGAAGTAGAGGTACCAAAAATATTGCTGCTGCCTACAATTGAAGGAAGAAAAATGGGGTGGGGGTAAGGGTAAAAGTACACCTTATCAAACTAAAAGGCAGACAATATTAGAATAGCCCAAAAATGTCTTTTCAAAAGTTACAACTTGGCTAAACAGCTATGATCTGAGGGAGAATTTAATCCATTCATTTTCTTTCAAGATTTTTTTATTCAGGCATAAAGTTCCATAAGCAGAACACACAATGCTTTATCTAAAATTATGGTGATGTTGAAAAATGCCTGACACAGGTAGCACAATCCAATAAGAGAAAGGGTCTGTGCTTCTAAAGAGAGAATGGATACTATTATATCATGTTAACTCTAGTTGATATGGTCGATCACAATATCATCTATATGTACGTTATAGGACAAAATTCATCAGAACTGTGTTCCCTAATAAGATGTCAAATTATCGCACAACAGTGGTTGACCAGAGAGCTCTCTCCAGGCAGCCCTGTTTGCAAGTCTCATTCCAGCTACCAGAAAATCAGTACTGATTTCAGTCACATCAGTGGTATCAAAATTAAACTCTTAATTTATCCTCTGCCACTAAAGCACTGAATTTTCTAAAATGTTTTCCAAAGACAGTATCAAAAGGCAAGTAACAAGTTAGTCTGTCCTTTTGGAATCTAAATCGGGACCAGAAATTCACTTACATTTTTCCTCTCTAATCTATTCTGATAATTTTTCAATAGGAAGTTGAGCTTCTCATTATTCATCTAACTTGAATTCCTCTAACACTCAGCAACAGTTCAAGACCCCAAGGGAAGTTCCTACTCTTGTTCAAGGTTGACAGAAGCAGCAGTGGTAATTAACGTAAGTTCCTGTAATCATTGTGAATCATTAGAACCCAAGTCACCCAAGGTTGAATCTTAGGAGACTTAGAAAGCTTCCTTGGTCTACTCGTAAAATTAAGAGATAACATTTCCTAAATGTTTTGGTTGGCTGATATTTTCACTGCTCGAATACCCACCTCCTTACATCCAGAAAGTCACAATAAGCTCTGTGCAGGAAGGGCCTCTTAAGATTAGAAGAGTAAGAAAGTGGATGGTTCTGCTTACACTTCCTATCTCCTTCCTTAAATGACTCCTTTCCCCGCCAAAGCCACTAACCCTGGAAAGCACTTCCATGAAGAGGAAGGCTTATTAAGGCTATCAGTCTTTGCAAAATACTTTATAGAAAATACTAGGCTGTTCTCTTGGATGGAATTTAGAATGTCAGGCAAGCCATGTCAACACAAGAGTGTGAAAGAAATAAATGTCCTGGAAAACAACGGAGGGCAAACAGGACATTCACTGCACTCCACCTCGTTTACATTTATGGTGCTAGAAAGCCTCAATCCCTGCTCATCAGGTTTAAAAACCAAAATCTTAGCTTCTAATCTAAGAAACTACCATCCAGCAAAATAGGATATCTCATTTGAACCCACAGAGCTCCAAGTTATCCTGGTTACTTTTTACACTGTCAACAGCGATGACACCAGTACAATCTCCAGTGGCCCTGTCCTTATACCTATCCTGTGGTTGTAAGAAAGCACCGAGACAATGACTGAAACCTATAAACACAGATCTGTGACATTTATTTCTAAACTATTCAAACACCTCAAAGCCTGAAGCCTATTACTTATTTTAATATGGAGAAATGGAGAAGCACTAAAAAGTGAAAAATATAGGACTCCATCAGGGCCACTACCAGCTGAAAATAGACAAGCAATACACTCCTCTGGCCATAATGACTTATTTGGTGAAATACTAAGTTTAATGGGGGACGTTCATTTCAAATTATCTTTTTACATAGAGGATTCTGACTCTAGAAGACCTGGGAGCTTTTCTTCAAGTCATGTTCTGATTAAATAACATACCCTTGGTTTAAAGAAAAATAATTTAATGGAATTTAATCTGCTCCTAATCAAATTTCATAGTCATTAAAAAAAAATCAATTCTGAACCAATATCAAGGTAAAGGTTTACTATCAACGCTTTATCCTTTGCCTCTGGCTCTTTAACATGGCCCTCCCAATGCTATATATAGTCTACCACGACAAGACTTGGTTTTGGTTACCTTCCGATAAGGATTATATCACTTTTGCAAAGTCATTTTTATAGACTTTAAATCTCTCTCTCTCATCTTGAAACTTTAAATTACTCTCCCTCAAAGAGCAGGAGTTGACTGAATGGCAAAAATAATACACACGCATGCATTACGACATGATATGGAACATATGAAATGGATTGTGAGAGTGGGGGAGGAATAAACTTTATTGGCCCACAGAAGGGATGAAGGAATCAGGAGGAGGCGCTGGGGAAAAGAATGGATACGGGTGGGAAAACTAAAATGGAATGATTTAAAATGTGCAAATACACTTTGTAACCTCCACCATTCAACATAGAGATGGAGATGTACTGTGAAGTTCAGGTAGACTAAAGTGAGTTTCACTTTGTAGCTGATGCTACTTGTACCAGGTTTATCATTAGTAAGTCACCATTGAATTCTGCCAGTCAGACCAGGCTCTCTCTGGTTAGTACAAACAAGGCTTTCCATCCTGGTTGCAGTGACCCGCCAGCGCTCAGAAGGCATGCTTGTGACGAACTCGCACACTTTCCAGTTCCCCACCTCCATTGGCGGCCAGGGTCTCCAGCCTGCTTAAGCGCTCCAGGCTTCTTCCAAGAATTTCTTCGAGCCGACCGCGTAACACCTGGGCCCCTTCCAGTTCCACCTGCAGAGTCTGGTCTCTGTCAGAGCTGATTAAACATGCCACATGGAAGGAAAATGGATTAGCCATCAACTGTAATGAGTCCACCTGTGCTTGCAAAGAGCCATCAATGCCATGAGACCTTCTAAAGCAAGCATGTCAAACTCACGGCCCGCGGGCTGCATGCCTCATTTATTCAGCTGTGTTAGCCTTTGAGTTTGACATGCTTGTCTAAAGTAACTCTTCTCCAGGACACAGTGAATGAATGTAGTCTTTGTTGTGGCATTTGTGGCCATTGCGGTAGATTAGCAAGACCTGCTCCTTTCTTTAAAGCTTGTCCCTTATCCTAGGCTCTGGGCCAATCTCACATGAAATTATAGCTCCTGAGATTTATCTCACACCCCTATAGCACATAAGAGAAATTTCATTATTTGACTAAGAGTGTTAGTTTCTGAAAAAAAAAAAAAAAAAAAAAAAAAAAAAAACGAAACATAAACTGAAGCACTATTGAGCCAAGTAAAATACTTGTTCTCTTGTTTGTTAACCAGACTTGACAGTGCTCTGAAAAGGAACCCAGTTCACAGACACTAAGGATCCAGACATTCTTTAAAAGTAACACAATCAAGGGGCCCTATTCTACCTTTCCTCTTCCTTCATTTGCTTGAAGTAGAAAAAAAAATTAAATCCAAAAATAATAGAAACTGAAGTTTCTTCCCGGAAGTCTAAGCCTCTGCTAGCCACACCCAGGAACAAGACACCGACTTGCGCCTGGCCAATCGCCAAGGCCACAGCCCTTTCTCCTCCCCTTACTCCAACCCCCTATAAAACCCCTCTCCACACAGAGTTAGCTCTCTCTGCTTCCTGTCGCTGTGTCGGCAAGGTGGGGGAGCCGAGATAGCTCGAATAAAGACTCATGCTTTTGCATCGAAAAAAAAAAAAAAAAAGAAACTGAATAGTAAAAGAATAAAAATTGGGAAAGAGAAAAGGGGCCTAGGAGGGAAGGCAAAATGTACAAAAAGGGGAAGAATATAAAATGGACTAGAACGACATAATATACATGACCCCAAATCAAGAGGGACAAGAATACAGACTGATCACGATGGCTATCGGTGATCCTGGGGTGATATTGCCATCACAGTAAATATGTTTTCTTCAATGATACTCAACAGTATCAGTTCCCATTACAGCCTTAGTCTTATAGCGGAACAGTCTTTAGTAGGACATGGAGCAGAGAAAGGAAAGGACTATACATGGAGTGCTTACTAGACGCAAGGCATTATTTTAGAAACCTGCTAGGTCTTCTCATTTGAAATCTACAACAGCTATATGACTGACTTAAGATTGGACACTTCTGCTCAAAGCAATCCACACAACAAATGACAAACTGGCAGTCCCTGTAGCTGTCTCTGCTCTCTTTTCTCCCATCTTCGCTATCGTACGCATCTGCACTTAATGAGAGTAACCGGGAACACAGTGCACTCTCTTACCTGTCGGGATGGGCATGGAACTTCACCAAACTGCTATAGAGCTGTCGCTCTGCTTGTAAGGCCTCATTGAGCCGACTCCGTTCATCTACCAGTCCTTCTAGCATCAGCAGCAGCTGAGGAAAGAGAAGAAGAAATGTGCAAATGGAGACATGAGACATGAAGCCAGTTAATCCTGAGAAAGACTAAAAGAATGCATTAGCATGTACTTTGACTAAAAGAAAGCTTACTATATTATTACTTACTTATGCTTTCCATGGTATTCTAGTTTTCAAATCAATGCCACATGAACTATACCATTTTTTCTTCTTTAAAACCCTATAAGGCAGTGTTTAAACATGGAAGCAAGTAGAAGATAGAGAGGAGCCAGAAGCCTAGGAATGAGGTGGAGAGAAAGGAGGGGAAGAGAAAGAGAGGAAGGGCAAGAGGGAAACATGTAATGGGACTTCCTAGTATTCTTCATTCATCCAATAAAAGCTTATGAGTCCCTTCTATGTGCCAGGTTCTGTTCTAGGAATAAGCTTACTATCTTGTCAGGGGGAAGACATTCATCAATCACGTTTGTCACTGTGTCACTGTGAGCTCTGATAAGTGCGATAAAGACGACGAGCTATGACAGTGCATGGCCAGAGAGATCTGTTAAGGGGACCTGTAGAGTTAAAAGCCAGACCGGAGTGACATGAGCGGTTAGTGAGAGGCATGAGAGTGGAGACCAGGAGCACAGGCAAGTAGGTCTTCTGAGAAGTTTATCATTGAAAAAAGGTTAGACGTGGGACAGAAGCTACAAAAGAACTTGGGGAAGAGGCAGAAGTTTTTCTTCTTTTCTTAAAAAAAACCCCACAAAACTTAAAAATTTAATCATTTTTAAAAAATGGTTACATGCAGGCAGATGGATTCAGCCGAGAGAGGTGACTTAGGGGTCAGGGACAACTGACGGTGTGTGACGAAAGAACTGCTTCTCAATTCACAATTACAAGTGTAAGGAAGGAGCCTCCGCGCTGGTGGCTGACACTGACCAAGGCAGGACACTCCAGAGCACAGATTCTCCATGAAATTCTATCCCCGGATCCCTTCACAGCTAACTGAGATGGACAGGTTTTCCACGGTTTACTTCACAGTAAAAATAAGGTTTGTATTCCAATAACTTACTTGTTGTCTTCGGTTTCCTGAAGCTTCCTGACCCTGTGATTCTACCAAAGCAACTTTTTCCCGAAGAAGTAAGACTTCTTGAGTCAGGCGGTCCATAGCTGGTATGTCTTCAGGATCAACCAGTTGCATCTGCAGGTCCTAGAAGTAAACAAATGGGAACAGGAATAAAAATACTATTCAGCAAAGGAAAAAATGCTCCTAAGACAGTCTGCTACACTTTCAAGTGGGATACGGATAAGCCATATGAAGGTAATGATGTATTCTGAACGAAGTCACAGCAACTCTGATTCAGTCCAAGAGAACACAGCATTATCACGAGACTCTAACAGTGTGTCCAAGAAATAAGCACTGGCCAACGGACCAATGCATCCGAATGTGTGTAGGTGCCTATTCTGAGTTGTAGCTATTTCCAATGGTCTGTAAAAAGCTTTGAGAGACCTTTATGAGGTCTTCTTTAATCTGTATGTTCCTGGTCAGGGACTCCATATCAGCCGCCTGCACCTGCAGCTCTTCCTCTTGCACAGCCATCATGGACTGTAGAGCAGAAAGTTCCATCTGTGCAGAGAAGAAATCCTCAGGTAAATTATAGGCAACAAAAATTTTATTTGTGTATTTTCTAATTCTATCAAAGCTTACAGTATCACTGTGTGGGCTCATGATGATTTATAACGATACCAAGTTATCTGATGGCTCTGGGCTCCTGTGGCATGTTAGGAGAAAATGTTTCTCCTCACATTTCTTTGCATGTTGAAGAAGCCCAGGCAGTGTAAATCCTGACCTCTCTCCACCCCTTTCCTCACGCAGCCCCGGGCAGGCAGAGGGACTATCGTAATGGTACATGGGGGAATAATAAGCCAGGCATGCTTGACTAGGTTCCGCCTTTCCTAACCTTCAGAGAGAGTTGCCTGCAGGAAGCCTGTTTTTGCCAGGGCTTCTCCAAGGGCAGGCCCCTCCCTACCATGCAAACTGGGGAATCTGCCCAGGCCCAGTGTTGCCTGTGACTGGGGAGGTAAGTCTACCTAATTCTGGGGACTGGCTAGCAGGCCCATTGGCTCTTGCATTAAGTTCTCTACCTAAGCCTTTATCAGTAACACAGTTGATAAGGTACCACATCATCTGCCATTAACAGTTTGTTCAGGTCTGCGTTATGGAAAACAGGGGTGCTATGTATTAGGCCCTCTTCAGAGATCTCTATCATTAAATATCGAGATAATTTACTCCATTAAAAAAAATGAAAACATGAGGAAGAAACATTATTGCAGCATGATAAAGATCTGCAGTCAGACACACATGGGTGTCAAATCATGTCTTAATATCCCTGACAAGACATTTAAACTGAGTTTCAGTTTCCTCAATGGTAAAATGGGAATAATACCTACTTTTCAAGGCTATCTGAAAATAAAAAATATGTATCTAAAGTGCCTGGCACATACTAGACAATCAATAAAGGATGATTATTATTACCACCACTACAATTATCTCAAGATAGTAGGGGAGTACTTAAAAATTGGGAAAAATCTTCATGGCTTTTGGAAAATAACAGATATTAGAGGGAAGTTGATAATGAATATAAGACATTGAACTGAGAAGTTGGTAGTTAAGGATACATAGAGGTAAGTAATATAGCTAAATATCATTCACTCCAAATATCCATTTACTCATTATGATTTTATAACCCTGAAAAGAGGACCAGACCAAAGAGTAATATTGCTCTGAATTGAGCATATATGAGAAAAACAGGAACTGCATATGGAAACTAAAGAACTGACATGAATAATCAGATAATGGTTGGGGTAGAGCCCCCCGCACCCCTCCCAAAAAAGGGGGAGGATAACTGGGGGATTTTTAAAACTGTTATTTTTTAAATGCCATGCAACTTCATATCCTCAAACTTTATTCATATAATGTGGGTCTGTTTGTAAGGAGATAAATGGTGTAAAAAGAGAAGCTAAGAGGTATAATAAGATACTTTCATCACAACTATGAACACAGGCTTTACATTATAGATCTAAGACAAAGAAGTGGAACAAAACTGAGGAACTACACAGCTTAGCCAGCTGAACTGGACTTAGGAACCCATGACCCGAACCGACCTTCTAAAACAGATGCCCTGGTAAATAAAGGCTCTTAGTTGTAGTCTGGAACACTATACTGTGGCCCCAATATTCCCTCTGCATCATAGCTGGACATACAACTAGCTGCACAGGGAGGCAGAAGGGGGAGAGAGTCTGTAAGGCCGAGAGGCCTCTTCTAAAAAGACCGATGAAAACTCTATTGCTAGAAATAGAGCATAAACATGGGGAAAAAAACATCTGTTCCAGGAAATGACTACTTAAAAAGCATTTCAAGTCACAAAAGACCTGAGCTTAAATCTTAGCTTTAGTATTTAATTATATGACTACTCCCTACCTCTGTGCTTTAAAAAATCTGAGTTCCAGCTTCTTCATCTATAAGTAGGGTCAATACCACTTACTTTGTATAGAATTGTAAGCATTAGTGCTAATTTAAGTAGCCAGTACAGTGCACTGCATTTAGCAATTACTCAACATTAGTGATCATTCTCAAATTTCTCTTGTTCCATGTTTCCAAAACTAATTTTACGGATCTAATGTCATAAATCTAAGCAGCAATTATATAGCATGTCATTTATTCCCAATTACTTTATTCCAGTTAGCAATAACCAGAGAAAACTATTATTTTAGCACTTAAAATGTTTTAACAGTCCCCATTTATAAAAACCAGAGCATCTTGGAGAGGTAATGTGTATATAAAGTGATTTATATTTTTCTCCAGATATTATAGTTGGAGAAGTGTACTTTCTTAAATATAAATTATTTTGAAAGAAAAACCAGGAATTTAAAAATTAGGCTTGACTAGAAAACTCACCCGACTTTCTCTTTCTTTTTTAGCCATGAGTTCAAGTTCCTCTTTGGCATTACTCAGTTCTTTTTCCAGCCCTGCAACTGTGTCCAAGTCTCCTAAAATTGAAAAACAAACAAACTGTGCTAGTTTCTATCACTATTAACATAGCATGATCTCTGCTGCCTCCTTTCTCAGAAATTTACTCTGAAGACACACCCCAACAATAAAAAACAACATATATGCACAGGTTGTTCTTTGCAACATTATTTGTAAAAGCAAAACACTGCAAGCAACCTACATGCTTATAAAAATAAGATTAAGTAAGCCATAGTATAACCACACCAAGGTTAAATTTCCTGTGTGATAATTATATTGTAGTTATGGAGGCAACTGCCTGCCCCTCCCAACACTGAAATGTCACCTTACAGCAAGTGTACTCAGCCTTCTTAAAAGATACCCAGAAGGTATCAGCCCCATCGTTCTGCTGTGCAGGTTTGGAAACACTACCTCCTGCATTGCTGAATCCCTGCAAAGCTATCTGAAAAGGAGGATGCAATTTCCCTAGTCAAACTGCATACCCAGAGCAATCACCTCAATTCAACATAAGGAAAGGGCAGTTCTTCCTAGAATAGATGCGTCTTCATCCTTTCAGGGGAACGCAAATTTAATTTTTCCATTAAGGTAGGAAGGGAAAGAGAGTCTTGGCCAAACCCATTAAAAGAGGATTATGGGAAGGAAAAGCAGAGATTCCTTAATGAAATGAAATTTGATGCTTACCTAATGGGGACTTGGGTATGGTGGCATCCCCTTTGGTAGTCAATGAAGTTCTATCATCTCTGGAGGGTATGTGCACTGAACCCTGGAAATTGGAGGAGTTGGGGGATTTAGGAAGATGCAGGAACCATGATCACAATGACAAGGACTTGGATTCTTCTCACACAGGTCAGATAATTATCAAACATATCTACACAAGTCTACAGTCTTACTTGATCAGTCTGCTCTCCGAGGCGGGGGCTGATGGAGGTCCCTCCAGTTGGCTGGCTGGAGATGAGTGCTTGGGACACCATGAAGTCTTTCCCTCCTAAATATTGGCGAAGGGCCTGCAATTCTGAATTTCTTTCCATTAGGGCTTGCACCATCTTCTCGGCAGCAGCCTAGAATGGAAATCACACATGACATCAGAAAGATTCTCTGATACAACAAAATTTGTGTTCTGATGTTATATGTTAAAAGCCAACCATTTATGAAGCCAGTTTTGGGACCCTAGAAAATAGTTTCCTTGCTTTCAGTTTACAGGGAAAAACAGGCAATGAGTGAAAAGTCTCTCATAGGTAGAATATTAGAAAAAACTGAATATAACAGATATATTAAAGATGAAATAATCTGAAATTGGTTCTGCTAGAACTCATCAGACCAAGGTGTCAAGATTCTGGTTTGGTCCTAGCTGGTTTGGCTCAGTGGACAGAGCATTGGCCTGCATCAGCCTGAGGTTTGAAGGGTCCCAGGTATGACTCCAGTTAAGGGCACATGCCCCAGTTGTGGGCTCAATCCCCAGTACAGGGCATGCAACCGATCAATGATTCTCTCATCATTGATGTTTCTATCTCTCTCCCTCTCTCCTCCTCTCTGAAATCAGTAAAAATATATATTTTTTTTAAAAAGATTCTGGTTTGAATTGGGATAACAGATGTCTTTCTTTACTCTGGATAAAGCGTGTGTTAGTCCTTACCTGGCTCTGCCGCTCCCTGGTGCTCATAGACTGAAGCAGGCCCTGAATCTCCATTTCGTGTTCCACTGCTAGTTTGTTTCGGTCACTTAGAAGGTCCTGCAGCATCCTTTCCTTGCGCTGTAGACGCTGGCACAGCTCCTCAGCAATCTCACTCTGCCCTGGTCCGAGTTTGCAGAGCAAGGTTGCACTAACATCCTAAGACAGAAGAAACAGTGTAAGTTTTGGAGGAAAGAATTCCCTCTACTACATATCAAAGGGCTTTTAAGAATCTATCATATAGGAGCTCCAGTGGCGCAATCGGTTAGCGCGCGGTACTTATAAGAATCTATCATATAAGAAAGAACTGTGAGATTCTGAAGAACAAGTATCAGTGTTTCATTTGTTTTTGTTTCCCCAGACCTAGCACAGGCCTGGCACATAGAAGCCTATAAATACCTGCTCAGTGAATGAACACTGACAATACAGAAAAATACTTATGGCAACTGACATACTGTTTTGAAATAACAAACTCCGTGAGTTTATAGGAGTAGGGACAACAGTCCCAGTGAAAGCCAATGACTCGCCCAGGCACAGAACGGATTAAAGACTTGGGTCACTGGCCTCCCAGACCTCAAGAGTCCTAATCTAAGACTGAGGTTATGTAACTGATAAACTGACTACCAGTAAGTTAACAAAGTCTTGCCTCCACTTCTTTGTTCCTGTCATGCAGAGATGTCTGTAACTGCTGAATGATACTTTCTTGTTCTTTCTGCCAATGGCTAAATTTGGTTTCCATTTCTTCTTTCAGCCATTGGAGGTTTTGACAGGTAGCAGATAACTGCTCCACTTCCAGGCCTTTGGCCCTCAGGAGGCTCTCCATGCTCTACGGTCACAAAGAAAGCAACCGTAAGTCCAAGGACCACTCCACATACCTCAGGTTACACACGAAACCCGATCTACCTTTAAATTATCTTCATGTTATCAACTATTTTACAAAAGGAGGAAACTTAGTACCTAATCTAAAAATGCCATACTAATTTATTTTTTGTTTTTAGAAACTCTCATCTAGCTTGTAGAGACATAAACATAACATACATGATAAATGATGTATTTTGGAGGAAGTAGGCTATACTATACAAGAAGTGAAGAACTTCTTTAAGAAGTGGCAGATGGTAAGATATATAAGCTCTAAAATAAATATCAAAAATGCTCCACAGTAAATATTATTAAAATAAACAAATGATCTGATTGTGGCCATACACAGACACGTATATAACATTAATGGGAAAACCACAATGTAGTAGCTGCACCCTGGCAATGCTTATGTAAAAGTGTACAGATATTGACAAGGATTAGAAATTAATTAGAACCATGTATAGAAATCCATATTCACTGCCTCCCCCTACAAAGTTTATGAAAGTGCTAAAACGTCTCACTTCCTAATCCCTGATGATGAAACGAATGACTATTATTTTTGTTTGTTTTTATATATTTTTTCTGATAAATTAATACACTGGTTTGCAGAAAATGATAGAAGGGCTGATGCTTCAGGAATGCAAGTAGGAGAGGGATGCCAAGTCAGGACAGATTTTGCTCTTACCTGCATGGTAGCTTCATTAGAGGAGAGGATACCGCGCAGCCTCTCTAAGTCAAGATCTCGCTCTCTCACGGCAAGACGCAGTTGCCGCAGCTCTTTTTCTTTTTCTTCCAGAGTGGAGAACTTTTCATCTATAGCCCGCTGCAAGGAAAGCAAGGATCCTAAAGCTCTGTAAGAGCCACCATCCTGATTACCCTTTTCCAATAGGAATCCCAATATAAAGGAATGGAGATCCAACTGTGAAAAGCAGCAAACCCAGTAGATACAGATTTCTATAGGACCTATGTGAACAGAATAATCCATAGCATCATGAGAAAAATTATGGGACATACCTCTAGTGCAGCATCTCTATCTTGTATTCGCTGCCGCAGTTTCTCAAGCAACATTTCATTTGCTTCAAAGGTTTTGTCCGAGTTATCTCGATATTGCAGGAGCTCCCTAAATTCCTAATGAAACCAAAATGTATTTTCCTTTATTCATCTATCCAATACTAACTGAATTCCCATACTCTGACAAGCAATTTGTTAGTTATTCAGGATAAAAACCAAAATGTGACCACTTTCAAGGGGAACAGTTTAGCCGAGATAACAAATTTTTAACTATTCTGCATCACATACACATATACACGTGCGTAGGGGAACATGGGATGCACTGTCTAACTCTGCCTGAAGGTGTCACTAGAGATCTCACAAAAGATTACATTTGCTCTAAGTCTTGAAAGGACTAGAAGAGGTGAGGGAGGAGGTATTTCTTTCAGAGAAAGGAAAAAGTATGTACAATGTATGCATGCTAGGAAAAATCGTATGCACAATAAACTATAAGGGATTCAATGTGACTGGAGCTTAGATAGGTGGTAGAAGTGATCCACTGTCTTCTTTAGTGTTCGATTTCCCCCCTAAAACTTTCGTTTTATCATCTGGGGAAATTTCTATTCAAATCTCTTCACTTACTAGGCTAAGAGCAGTGGCCATCTCTTCTCGTTGTCTTCCTAGAACCTAGTATACTTTCTGACTCACAGAGGTGCTTAATAACTATTTACGAGTATGGCCTACGTCTTTCAGGTCTATATTTGTTTCCTGGACTTCCTGGTTAACATCCTGGTTAACAGATTGTACTTTATTTTGAATCCTCCTGATCCCCACCTCTCACTCGTCTACATGTGGCAGGTACTCAACGCAGGTGGACTGATATCTTAAGATTACATAAACAGGAACCTCAGCTCTCTGAGTCCAGTTTTCGATGAAATCACTGTGTGACTCACCTGAAGCAAATGTTCTTTGTGACTCAGACTATGGTTTAGATGCTGAATGTGTTGCTCCTGGGTTCGAATCTCATTGTAACATCCTGGTTAACAGATTGTACTTTATTTTGAATCCTCCTGATCCCCACCTCTCACTCTTCTACATGTGGCAGGTACTCAATGCAGGTGGACTGATATCTTAAGATTACATAAACGGGAACTTCAGTTCTGAGTCCAGTTTTCGATGAAATCACCGTGTGACTCACCTGAAGCAAATGTTCTTTGTGACTTAGACTATGGTTTAGATGCTGAATGTGTTGCTCCTGGGTTCGAATCTCATTGTATTTTTCAGCCTCCAGGGTACAAAGCTGTTGGCTCTTACTCTGTAATTCTCCTTGTAGCTGCTGTAAGGCTTTCCGCAATTCCTGAATTAAACAGATTCCCCTTATTTTATTTTTTGAAATGTTGTAAGAATTTATTTGAGCCAAACTGACAACACAAGCAAGTTCTTAAATGGTCCCCCATGTTCTCTTTTGTTAAGAATCTAACATTTTCACAAGGTCATAGACATGGAGGCCTTAAAGCTTCCTGGGCATGTAGGACAAAATAAAGTAGCAGAAAGTACCATTCTTAAAATTACTCAGAAATATTATACACAAATCAACTAGGATGTGGGAAACCGAGGGAACTGTGGATGGGGGTAGAATGTAAATTTGGTAAAAATGATAGACCTCTATAACTAACTACTAAGGAGGACTCTGTCCCAATGCAAACCTGGATCCTTTGCTTTACAATAAGATCAATGATGGGATATTTCAACCTTCCTTTTAAATCTTAAAAAAGAGTAGCATATGCTCTAAACTAACAAGATAAAGAAACCATTAAAAATTATGTCTTTTATTAAAAACAAACATGTCTAATGGCATGTGCCATTCCTTTGACCTTGCTTGCGCTTCCACCTTATTTTATTTTTTGAAATGTTGTAAGAATTTGAGCCAAACTGACAACACAAGCAAGTTCTTAAATGGTCCCCCATGTTCTCTTTTGTTAAGAATCTAACATTTTCACAAGGTCATAGACATGGAGGCCTTAAAGCTTCCTGGGCATGTAGGACAAAATAAAGTAGCAGAAAGTACCATTCTTAAAATTACTCAGAAATATTATACACAAATCAACTAGGATGTGGGAAACCGAGGGAACTGTGGATGGGGGTAGAATGTAAATTTGGTAAAAATGATAGACCTCTATAACTACTAAGGAGGACTCTGTCCCACTGCAAACCTGGATCCTTTGCTTTACAATAAGATCAAGGATAAGATATTTCAACCTTCCTTTTAAATCTTAAAAAAGAGTAGCATATGCTCTAAACTAACAAGATAAAGAAACCATTAAAAATTATGTCTTTTATTAAAACCAAACATGTCTAATGGCATGTGCCATTCCTTTGACCTTGCTTGCGCTTCCACTTTTGTTTCTCGCTTTTACGCATCCTTCAAAAATAACTTCATATCCCTGGCCTGTGTGGCTCAGTAGGTTGGAGCATTGTCCATGCACCAAAAGGTGGTGGGTTCGATTCCCAGTTGGGGCGTGTGCGGGAGGAAATCGATCAATGTTTCTGTTTATGTGACTGTATCTCAAATTAAATTACAAGTAACTTACAAGGCAAGAGCCTGTAATCTTCACTATTGTATTTCCAGAGCACAGCCCAATATTCTGCACATAGTATGAGGACAGCAAATGTTGAACTGAATTACTCAGATAAAGTAAGCGACTAAAGGGTTCAACACAAACTGTCCTGATAGAAAGTTATTATCAGGGCAAAGTCGGTCTTTACGGCCACAAAACGATTAATGATTTACCTGGTTATGCTTCCAAGAAGCCTCTTTCTGCTGTTCTCTCTCGTGGGCCGCAGCCTCGACAAATTGCACACATCGTTTGGCGTCAGCCAGCTGGCGTTCTTTCTGCCGTACGGCCCTCTGGAGCTTCTGTATTTCAAGCTGGCTGCAGAATAGAGCACTCTGCAGGTCAAACAGAGCCACTTGTTGCTGAGCTGGAGTACCCTCTGAGCTCTGAAAAGAGTAAAAATCATGATCACAAGGAGGGCAAGCACCAAGCAGCTGAGAAGACCAACAATATAGGTCAGAGAACGGCACATCCTCCATGGAGTCTGCCTATGTGACCCCCACATACATGAAGCTGTCCAAGCTGGCTTTGGTGAAGCATTTCTCGAAGCTTTGCCATTGTGTCATTTTGACCTTCGATCACCTGGTATAACTCCTCCATCTGAAAATGAGAGAGGGAGCACCATACATGTTAGTAAACGAAATGTTAATTAACTCCATTATCTCGCCTGTACAGATTTTAGTAGCAGAAAAAATACTTCTTCCTAAACTCAGTTGCTTCAATTCTCATGTACTGTGCTTTTTCTATGATGGCAGCCATCCTGGGCACTTGTCCATATGAGTCACTGTAGATCCCTTAAACCAAGACCAAGGAACTTCTGCTATCTAGCATCATACAGGACTATGCCAGGCCAGAAGCTCAGCATCCCAAATTGTGGGACTTTTCTTCTAAGCAGATGTTAAAATCCATTGGTTATGAAGGGGTGAGAAGTTAAGCTAAAATCAGAAGCACAAATCTCCTATCTCGGTACCTTATACATTTAAAGACTGCATTCAAGTTTTAATCACATACGTAAAAGGCACCTGCAACCTGATCTGTGCAGAACAGGCTAACATCCTGATGCGAAATAAAGAAGAACTATACTTAAACACACACTATCCATCTCCCAGGTCCTACTCAGAGAAGTTAACAGACTCAGCTAGAGTCAGTCACATCCTCAGGAGAGTCTATGATCTCCAAGGGCCACCAGGTGATCATACCTTGTTGGTAGCCTCTGTTTGCTGGATTTTTTCCTGGAGTTCTGCCATGTGGGACTCAGGTACCGACTGTTGAGTTATAATGGTCTCATCTGAATTCAGCTTTTGTTGTTTGAATAACTCTTGGGTCATGGGCTAGGAAGAAGCAACAAGACAAGTTACTTGAGTTAAAAGTAGTCAACAACAAATTTTATCTTCAAAGGATTTTAGCATCTTTTGCTAGAAACTTAGAAAAACCGGTTGTTGCATGAAATATCAGTATGAATTCCTGAAGACAGTCCTGTTCCTTATTAAGAGTACTGATTCACTTCCATCCTTACTATACTTTCTAGCTCCCCTCTCTAATTCTCCCAGCCACTCACACAAACACTAGCTATTCAGTTAAAGCAATTAATTCAGAGTTTAAAGAAAGGGGAGCATTCAAAATAGAAAAATGATGATCATATATTCACTTTATCCTGTTTTCAATTAGGAAATTCAAAAGGCACACTGATCAAACTTATGTCATCCCTAAGAGAGGAAAAGTTATATTCCAACTATCTTTCTTATAGCATGCTTGCTCACATTATTGGAGACACTGGCAGATCTTTAATATGGACTGTACATTAAATAACAGTATTTTATCAATACTAAAATTATATAACATATAATACTGTAGTTATATAAGAGATGTCCTTATATTTAGGAAATAAATGCTGAAGTATTCAGTGTAAAAATGCATATTATCTGCAACTATTTCTCAAATGGTTCAGGAATGAAAAAAATAATGTGTCTATATAGACAATGGGAGCAAAGTTAGCAAAATATTTGGCAACTGGTGAATCTGGGAGTTCTATGTACCTCCCTCATGAAATTATTTCAAAATAAAAAGTAAGCCCAGCTGGAGTGGTTCAGTTGGTTGAGCTTCTTCCTGTGCACTGAAGGGTTGCCATTGCTGGTTTGATTCCCACTCAGGGAACATGCCTGGATCGAGGGTTCAATCCTCATCACATGTGCAGGAGGTAGCGGATCAATGTTTCTCTCTCACAATGATGTTTCTCTCTCTCTCTCTCTCTCTCTCTCTCTCTCTCTCTCTCTCCATGTCCTCAGGTGAGGATTTAAAAAATGATAATAAAAAGTAAAAATATTTTAAAATAAATTTAAAAATCCATAGTGGTCTCAGGAAACGGTGTCTTACAGAAAGAATAATTCACCAAAACAATTCAGGTAAAAAGCAGACACACGTATTACTTATATATGGGATAATCAATCAGACTGAGATGAACTCATTGAACTATACTGATATTCATTATGAGCTAAGAGTACTTACTAAAATAAAGCTTTAGGAATTCACTGTGGCATTAAATTCCACCTCCTCCCTCCCTATTCCACATCATTCCAATTAGAAAAATTATAAACCCATTAGAGGAAGAGGAAAAAAGCAACTGGTATTCATTTTTTCTTTCCTTCACACTTTTGACCTCTAATTACCGCCTTGCAGGCAGTGGAGTTACAGCTTACCTTAAGTCCCTTCCTGCCAGCAACTGGGAGCTTAAAGTTTTCAGAAGAAAAATCTTTTCTATTCCTTCAGTGCTATTTATCAATTTTTCTGTTCACCATGCATTACTATCTCCTCTGCTCACTGAGCCCCATACTATCCAGCACATCTGTTAAATACCATAGTATATAAAGCACTGTGGAAGGGAGCTACATATAAAGGAACATGGAAACACAAGAAATATCAGATAGAAACAAGCCTTATGCAGTAAAATAGAGAGCATGATAAAGCGATTAAGTTACCCTAAATTGGTTGGTCAGTGTGCAAAGATCTACAGAACAAGCTAGGCAGAGGGAACAGCCAATGCAAGAGACCTAGGGTGGATGTGAGCCTGGGAAAGAGAAAGGCCTAGGGGACTATAATATCACTTTCCAATAGAAATGCAATGGACCATATACATGATTTTAAATTTTCTAGTATCTTCATTGGCTAAAGTAAAAATAAATAGGTGAATGTAATTTTAATAAAATATCTTATTTAACCCATTATATCCAAAATACTATCATAAATAAGATTCAATATAAAAATGATTAACAAGATACTTTACATTTTTCATACTGTCTTTTGAAATTAAGGGGGATATTTTACACACACAGCACATCTCAATTCGGATTAGCCACATTTCAAGTGCTCAATAGCCACGTATGGCTAGTGGCTACCTTGCTGGATAGCACAGGGACAGAGCATAAGGGGCAAAGGAGACAGTAATACAGGATGAGATGGAAAGGAAGGCAGGGGTCAAATCATATAAAGCTTTTGTACACCAGAGTTAATGAAACTGAATTTCATTCCCATTGAAATGAGAATGGACTGCAGTGTTTTTAACAGAAAAGTAATCCAATCATATTTAATTTTTCAAAAGGTCACCAAGCTACTCTGTGATGAGTGGATTGTGGGGGCGCACCAATAGAAACAGGAGACGAGGTAGCAGGCTGTTGCAGTAATGTAGATGAAAGATAACAGCAGCCTGGATTATAGTGGTAGTAATGGCAGGGGAGAGAAATGGGTAGGTATGTTTTGAAAGTACAGCAAACAGGACCAGATGGAAGAGAGAAAAAGAAAAAAGAAGCAAGAAAAACAACTCCTAGAAAAATTGAGATATTTGTTGTTGTGGTATAACAGGGAGCCTTGCCCTGAAGCAAAGTGAATTATGTCATACATGGGAGATGTAACTATTTAATAGACATGTATAATAATTCTAAATGATAAATAACTATCATTTACTTAATGATAAAACTTTGTCTACAAAACCTGGCTTTTTATTTCCTCAAATAAAACAACTTTCCAATAATATCTATAATAAGATATGTTTCAAAAATTTTTTAAAAATACTTTTATTGATTTCACAGAGGAAAAGAGGAGAGAGAGAAAGAAACATCAATGATTAGAGAGAATCATTGATCGACTGCCTTCTGCACGCCCCCTACTGGGAATTGAGCTGGCAACCGGGGCATGAACCGGGTTGAACCGGGACCTTTCAATCAGACTGACACTCTACCCACTGAGCCAAACCAGTTAGGGCGATATGTTTCAAATTTAAACTATAACAAGCAGAATTTTAAAAAATAGCCTCAGATTTAAAGTGGTAGGAACTGTGGTTATATCTATGCCCTTTAAACCAAAGAATCTTAGTGATATGAAGAAAACTTTAATTATCTGGTCCAATATCATCCTACATTTAGGAAATGGTGAGTAACTTAGAGATGGTAAGAAACTTGACCAAAGTGAGACAGGAAATCAGGAAAAGATTCCAATTTAACCAAATGCACTTAAGTTGGTAATGTATCTTTCACCTCTATATAAAATCACTATCTATCACAATGCCTAAAATATTATAGGGACCAAAAGTTTTTTGCTTAATAAGAACAATAAAAAGCAAGCAAACAAAAAATAGGCCTGTCTCCTTCTCAGGAAAATGTTCTAATCCTTTAGTGGCTCTCTTACAAATAAGAACAGATAGATAGATATTTAATATAGATATTTCAACAGCAACTTTGAAGCCAAGAAGGCCATAGAAGAGTACAAATGAATCTGGATCTCATCTGAACCCATCTTGGCTTAAATTATCAAAGGAAACTCCTAATTCTGTAATGGACTGACTTACAAGCTAGAAGTTGTTTGTTTCTTCTTTAATCATAATACTTTACATCTCAGAAAAATGTCCTTTCAAATACAAGTGCCAAAAAAGCATTTAGCAAAGCCCCACTGAACCAACTGAGCTTGTGAATTCTTGTGAAGTATCAAGCACATAAATCAATTGCTCCTATGAAGATTTTATCGAGCCTGAAATTCAGTAATACTTGATTTGGTTGATTAGTGTTAATCTCCAGACTATCGGCTACTAAAATCATGTTGTAACAATTTTAATTAAGTTGCTTTTAACTCAGTTAGGACAAATCCAGTATCAGAAAAGAGAATTGCTTCCAGGCCTAATGTTGTATATTGTAAGACCTTTAGGCTGAAAGACAGTAATTTAGGTCTTCCGGGTTAACAGCATTTTTCTTGGCACATTACTAGTCCTCACAACAGCAAGTCATTAATCTCAAACGGCTGTAATTTTCTATTCTATTGTTGGTAAGAGGAGATACATAAGAATCATCACCCAGCATAAAATTAAAGACCTAATCTCGTCCAGCATCTAACACATCTTCCAAAGGTCCTGATCTAGGTTATGTAGCTAAACTATGAGAGCTATGATTTACTATAGTCACACGAGAGCAGACCCTGGCATTGCAAAGCTTGAAGCAAAGATTTGCTCTTCGAATTTATACAGAAAAGGAAATTGCATGTGGGCCAGAGCTGAACTGCTGTTTACTAAGGAACCACACCCCTCCTATCATAGCTCTTCTAGTTAAGGGCCAGACAATAAAGAAGGAATAATAACCAGCTAGAATAAAGCTTCAAACATTTCTTTAGATATTTAGACAACCTTGGGTATTCAGGCATAAATTCTGTACAAGGCAAATAAGCCAATTTACATAATACTAAAAAATTATTAAGCAGGAGAATGACACTGTTGCTGTTTGTCTTTAACATAAGGAAGGAAAAAGCAAAGAGAACGACAGTAAGAAAAGTAATCAGAAGGCATTGTGATAGTGACATTTGAATAGTGCACATCATTGGGAAAGTAAAGGATTAAACAAAGAAATCAAAATGATCTTACAGAACAATCTTGCTCTTTCTTCATATTTGTAGAATATAACTAAAGGAAATTTTATTCTTTTGTGGTTTTTCCTTTCTACAAACTAAAAGGACAACGACCAAAAATAATTTACATTTATTTCTAATCTTTCCACATTTGTTCAGAGCAATAGACAAAAACCAGTCTGCCTTTGTTCCACTTGGCTCTGGCTCTGCCATAAAGCACAACAGGCCTAAGGGAATTTAAAAGTCAACCTGGCCTAAAGAACAGACTAGGGGTCCAAAACATACATTTTATTTACAAACATTAGATACAGTTTATCTTCCTATTTCCCCCCACATCCTTAATTATTAGAGAAAATGGCATAATTAAATGCCATAATTCAAGCTGCATGTTATTCTCTCCCTCCTCTTGATGTTTTATTATTCAACAAACAGTAAAGAATGTATGCCAAGT